CCCCCCTGCTCCTCTTCCTCCCTGCTCTCCCCCCCCTGCTCCTCTTCCTCCCTGCTCTCCTCCCCTTGCTCCTCTTCCTCCCTGCTCTCCTCTCCCCTGCTCCCCCTCATCCTCCCCCTGCTCCTCCTCTCCCCTGCTCCTCCTCCTCGCCCCTGCTCCTCCTCTCTGCTCCGCCTCCTCCCCCCTGCTCCTCTTCCTCCCTGCTCTCCTCCCCCTGCTCCTCTTCCTCCCTGCTCCTCCTCGTCCTCCCTGCTCACCTCCTCCCCCCTGCTCCTCCTCCTCCCTCCGCTGTAACACGGAACAAGGAAGTTCAACACCTGCTGCTTTCGCCTTTAATTACATTCCACTCATTCGTTTTTCTACATTTCTTTGTGAATTCAGGTGAGTCTGTTTTTTACTGATTAAAAAAAATAAGTTATAAGTTAATAATAGAAAAGTTTGGAGTTTGGGGGAAATGAAAGTTATCTGTTAAAACGAAAGAACAGATTTGATTTAAATCCGTCAGACAGTCCATTAGAGACTGAACCTGCATCGTGTTTGGTTCGCTGCGTTATTTAATTCGCCTGTTTGTTTGTTTATGGTTTTTAAAGAACATAATGGCAAACGAGGGGGAAGGAGTTCCTGTGGAGAAGGAGCAGAAACCGGTCAGCGCCTCCTCCAGCGGGGCAGGGAGCTGTCAGCAGGCCGATGGAGGAGTGAAGGACAGCGGGGAGCAGAGGACGGAAGCCGGGGAGGACCGCTTCCAGCTCGGTAGCCTGTCGGTGGATAACTGCCTGCAGCAGTTCAAAATAAGGAAGTTCTTTGTCCTCAGGGTAAAAAAAAAAATATTCACATCAAAATCAAATATTTGTTTTACTTCTACATGTTTTTTTTTTTTTTGTGTCTCGTGACTTATTTATTTATTTAGCCTGCATGTAATATATTTATTATTGCTGGTATGTTTCTGCAGCTCCTGCCTAATAGGTGAGTGTGAGGCTTTGGATGGTAAAATCAGAGAATTTTCTTCCTTCCCTCTGCTGCTCTGGCTGTGGAGGTTCAGTCCTGCTCTGCTGATCTGAAAGCCAGAGCCTGGATTCAGATTATTTTAAAGGGATTTCATTTGATAGACCAACACATTGTGACCTGGGAGGAAAATGCACAATTCTCAGGACGTCTTGCAAGTTGAAAACCCTGAAAAGAACTTTGTAGTCGACCCCCTTTACTTTGATGACCCTAAATAAAACGCCACTATAACTATCCAGAGTTATTAGAGGTTCACCTCTAGCATAACATCTCAAAACTTACATTTTCCTTTGAGAATCAGTGAGAAGACTTCAATTTTTATTTGATTATTTTTGTTTAGGTTTTTGCAGCACTATCCATCCATCCATTTTCTGTCATGCTTATCCGAAGCGAGGTCACAAGGGGTGCTGGTGCCTATCTCCAGCTGTCTACGGGCGAGAGGCGGTTGCCAGCCCATCGCAGGGCAACACAGAGACACACAGGACAGACAACCATTCGCACACACTCACACCTAAGGAGAATTTAGAGAAGTCATTTAACCTGATGCTGCATTCACACCACAAGCAGCAGGTGCAGCAAAAACCTGTGTGCTGCTTCATTTTTGATGCTTGTACAAGTTTAGTTCTGACGCACAGCTGAAGCATCTTTGCTGCTCTGGCTGCGTGGTAGAAAAGTGGTTCTAATGAACATTGGTGGAGCTACCCTATCCCCTCTAGGGATAGGTTGAAGGAAGATTGATGGAAGGGTTGAGTTTTACAAATTGCTCTCTTTTCAAACTGTGTTTCAAAGATCACATTCACTTTAAGCACAATACACTCACTAAAAATTTTTTTATAATGTCCATGTTTGCCAATAGAAATGCATCATAGATCTTCACTCAGGAGGAAAGTCTGCCCCCAGAAGTGAAGAGAAAGGGATCTAAAAAGAATGCATTCTCTAAAGGAAGAGAAATAAAAAAGGAAATTGAAAAAAATGTATGTAAGAAAAATTGAAAAAATAAAATATAAGTAGAAACAAAACTTAAATTTGATTAAGTTTTTAAAAATTTCCTTTTACAAAACTTCTTGTGACAATAATAGAAAAAGATTCCCTCAGTAAAGTTACCCTTCTCTGGTTTCTATGGTTTGTGTTCAGCTATAGTTCATCAGCCGTGCTGCTAATCTCCAAGGCCGTGTAGACGGATTCTGAAATGCGTACACGGATCCCGTGATGAAGGAAGCTCTTTGACTTATCATTAAACTATTCAGCCTCCTCTGAGCTTGCTTTAAAAGAGTCTGTTTCATCCACGTTCTCTCTGCCAGCTCGGAAATGTTCATCTCAGGAGGAGTTGTTCGATGCAGGCCTGTTGTACTTGGTTTAGTGGGAACGCATCCCCTGCTGCCGGGGCCAACTTTGCAGTCAGTCCCAGCCAAAGATTACAGTAAGACTGTCAGGAGTCCTCAATATGAACTCATAATCTGTTTTAAGTTCTCCTGCTTGGCGCTGAAATAATGGAACAAAGTGAACGGATGGAATAAGATGATTGGAAAAGCCTTGTGGCTGACAGTTTGAGCGTAGACTAGAGCTCCTTCCTGAGTGTCTTCAGACGTCTTTGTTACTCGGAGTCGGTCATGTTCAGCTTCCTTTATACTGTAGTCATTCTCACCTACACGTCATGTTTTTTCTTTGTTTACTGTGATTTCACCTTTTGGTTTGGTTGTTGTCGTTGACGAAGAGCTGTGCTGACATGTCCCTCACTCCCTGCTGCACATCTGCCTCAAAGATAACCCTTAAAGCCTCCTTCTCTCTCTATGCTCATGTTCTGGCTGCCACAGCGGAACGTTTGAAAGTGACACCCGTGCATTTCTCCTGTCTCCTCAGCCCGGCACTCTCAATCAGGCCATCAAAGACGTTGAAGCTCTGGTGAAAAAAGAGGAAGACGGCAACGTTCACGGCGTCTGGCTGATGGCAGAGTGAGTTCACAGTCATGCGTGTGTCCCCTTCATATCAGCATGGGGGGAATGTGATATAAGCTGGGGATATAGTTTTAGAAAAACACCAACAAGAACAAAAGAAACGAGTCATTCCTGCAACTATAGAAAATGCATTTTTTAAATGTGCTTTTTTACCTTAATATAAATATTCCCTAAAATAGGTCCTAAAATCAATTATTCAAAGTGTTTGATTAATGATTGGGTTAAATTATGTATATTTCACGGTTATTCCACCTTTAAATGTATGCAGTTATAATGTAATGTGATAAATAATTCAACATACTGTTGACTATTTCTAGCTCAGCAGTGAAAATGTACTTTCATTTTAAGACCATTAGTAACGATGAAGCGTGTCTTTAGGGATGCCTCGATCCACGTTTTCCCCTTCCAATCCCATTCTGATACTTGAATTTAGATATTTGTCGATCCCGATACTTTTTTGATACCAGAGCTGTTTGCTTTAATGTTCTCATCATTACTGTTAAGGCTGTCATAAATTCTTCTCTAAAAATAAGTGTGAGACATAAAAATCTACAAGTATAAATCCCAAAGTGCAGCATGAGGGGACTATAAGGCCAGAAGGAAGTCATAAAAACATTACTTTCTTTCAGCATAACCAGCTAAATTAAAATACAGTGAAATTAAGCTAAAATGCTGAATTTTAATGAGCTTTGGAATCTGTATTTTTAAACACCTTTACATCCTCATTCAGGGTTCCTACAGCATAAG